GTATGTCTGGGACGATTACCATACTCTTGGGGGGGGGGGGTATTGTTGAACCGCATCTAGGGAACTCTCCTGGATTTCATATTTTTCGAACAAGATTATTTGTTCGAAAAATATTTGGCCCATTTGATCGGAATAGTCGCCGGGAAGAGGGATACTTGATTGCTCGCTCGTGTCTGGTGGACTTGCCATTTTTCTCATCCATAGAATGACTATTCACTTGATCCATATAATTAAAGAATTTGTTAGTTAGTGCCCTAGAAGGCCAATCACGACCAGGCGGAGGATTCCTATCACCTGTGTAGCCAGATAACCGCAGTCTACATTCACTAAGGTGTTCTAGTTCCGCTGTAAGAAAGGGCCATAAGGTTCCAGCGTCAGGTCGAGGTTGGCAGGCCCACTGATGAAGAACCAAGTCATAAGAGACATTTCTATAAGCCGTACAATCAGTGGTAATGCTAGGACGTCACTCGAAGGTGGCACAGAGAACCCCTGCCCACTGCCCGAGTTCCTTCGTCTGCACGCGGGAGTACTGAGAGCTCTTTCAGCCTTCCAATTAGGCTTTTTCGGATTGGGTCTCTGAAAGCGGGGTTGCTTTCCGGGAGTTTTGAGGGGAGCGCTGATCTGATGCGACCCAGAGACATCACAGCCTTTGCTTTAAGGAAACTTGGTGGGAAGGAGCAAGTCACGTGAAATCGGAGCACGGAGCAAGTTTACAGTGAAGAGAGCACTGAACAGAACTGCATGGAATTACTGGCAGTGAAATCGTTCAGGGACTGCGTCCTCAGCGAGCTCTGGGTCTGGTGCGAAAGATATCAACAAAGAAACAGGCTGTGAGCTCAGAACCTAGAGCCATACAATACCCGTTCCGTCGTGATGATGTCTTTTTCTCTATTCCCCTTCGTTTTTTAGTTTTTCTCGTGAGCTGTCCAGTTTGTGGTCACCTTTCGTATCATGCAGTTACCATAGTATGCTCATCCAATGATCATGATACGCTAGAGGATAGGAGTCTTAATAGGGCGAGATTTCTGTTTCCTTCTCTTCCAGTGGCTAAATTAGCACCTGCATCGACGATGCAACACGCATTCGTTTTTGTACCCTACCATCTACGAAATGCGACTGCGAAATGCTCTTCAACTAGGAGGACCGGTTCGCTATATCACAGTATCGAGTTCCTAGTAGTGTCGTGTTGCTTCAGAACGAAAGAAAATTCGTAACATCGCAGTATTTCCAAGACTGGGATGTAAGTTGTAGACTGCGTCATCCCTTGATCTAACCTCGTCATCCGGGCAGTTGATTAGGGCGGTCGTCAACGGGCCGCAGCGCGTGCCAGGAACTATTTGCTTTTCCAGGCTAATTTAGTCATTTTTTCCACCTTGTGAAGATAAGGAGCTGCTAATCTGGGAAAAAGTAGCCAAAACAGTGAAAAGTTGGAAAAAATGACTAAATTAGCCTGGAAAAAGCAAATAGTTCCTGGCACGCGCTGCGGCCCGTTGACGACCGCCCTAATCAACTGCCCGGATGACGAGGGTATGTGGCATGCTTTACTGGGTTATAGGATGCGCTCATCCGCGGAGAATGGGTAGCGATCCTTTTATTCAAGTGTAAGGGCCATCTTTCTTATAAAAGAGGGGCGCACCAGCGAAATCTGCGGAAAAAGGGCCATGACTGGTCCGGCTCAGTCCATACTACGAGCGTGGTGCCTTCAATACTAGTAACAGTTTGAGGCGGATGGGATGCAGTGGTAGGTGGCACGCCTACCACTGTACGGAGACGAAATTCTGGATCGGCTCACGCCTAGGCCAACCAAGCCTTCTACCCTCCGGGGACGGTAAATTGGTACCAGATTCGTCTGGGAGGATAAGAACACTGACTTGTACATGCTCACCCCGCAAGTCATTTTATAGGTCACATAGCACTCAATAAGCCATCACGATTCTGAATGGAACAGTTAGGCTGGCGGGAAAGCTCTGTCATATTTTTTCAAATTAGGCTTTCTTTTTAGAGGGAGGCGTAGATGAAAATCATACAGCAATGTTATTGCGGGGTTCTTGCCAGTTTTTGAGCACCTCATGGATGCCATCGCTTCACAATGCAGGCCGGCGCGACGCAAAGTTGGACATCATCTCAATTTTGACTTGCTCGGGTTGTGGAGGTTTCCTCGTCCATATAACAGTCAGGCAGCGTTCAGACTTCGCGACGGCAGCGCCTCGGTCGCGCGTTCGGCGCGATCGATGCTTTCGACTGCATCGATCGCGTCGAACGCGCGACCGAAGCGCTGCCGTCGCGAAGTCTGAACGCTGCGTTAAGTACGGGAGGCAACTAGCAGTTAGAAGGACCCATGTCTGGGCTTCTTCTTGACAAGGGGAGAGCCATCCAGCTCTATCGCATGAGGTTCGGCTCGAACTTTTTTGAACGGAGTGCGCTGCACTATCATGATGAGGGCGGGCTGTGCGGACAAATTTTTCCCTCTGATCGACGGTACGCTTCAGATCTCGTAGCTGCTTTGCGTACGCATTGACCGAGGAAGCAGCTTCTTCATCCAGCGGTTTCACGCTTCGCAGCCCTGAAAATCACAGTTACATCCAAACCTCTCTTCGTCATCAAGACTGTAGGCTTCCGCTCTGAAGGTTGTCCGATAATTTAGGGCATCGTCTTCATTCAGCTTCATTATTTTGGCACCTTCAGCTGTCATGCTGGCTTCAGGGTGGTGGAAGAAAGAGTTTGAGGAAGCGCTTGCAGGTCCGATGGTAGAGGAAAAACTCTTGTCCATATTGCAGAAAAAGAAGAAGCAAGAGTCAAGCTAGTGGTACTAGTAGAAAGACCATTCCTAGATGTACAACTTTTCACATTACTGATTACCCCTCTTCAGTTAATGAGTTCAAAAACGTAAGACAGATCTTCCCCGCCAACCAAATAGAATGCGTGCAGCATCCCACGAAGGGATTGATCAACGGCAAAGTCTTTGTCCTTTTATCCTTCAACAGCTTTTGTAGCAATTCATAGTCAATAATTTACCGGTGACGTGCTCGTTATCCAGTGATGTGTTCAGGAGAGAAAGGCTAGACAATCACGTGAAATCCTTCACACTGAAGAGCAATGCTATTGCACTCACCACTGCTTCGGCGATAATTATTTCAGGAGAAAACTAGCGGGACTTGGTTTACTGTAGTCTTTGAACAGAATTTTATAATTATTCATGCTCTTTTGAATTGCATCCTTTCCTCAGAGTCTGCTCGCAAGCAGAGAACGACTGCTAAAAGATCGAGGAAGAATAGGAAGCCGCTTTTACAATCGAGAAACGGATCTCAATAGCATCCGTCGAGGAAGCGTAAGATGGGGCAAACGATTTGACTCAAAGGTGAATAGGGCACACTTTCTTCATAAATTGACTACTGAAATATTTCTATGGAGTTTGTTTTCCTTGAAATTTTTTCTTGAAGGAATGGAGGATGGCGTTCAAGGAACTTCTTCGCCCGACGAATATTGCTATGAGCCGAAACTGGACACCTATTATCAGTGAAGTACTACCAAAGGAGAGCGCTGAGTTAGAGGTGAGAGCTTTCCGTTGCAACTGCCTCTGCGCTTACCAGGAAAGGTCAACAGGTCAGCCTGGCCATTTGCAATGAGATGCACATCACTGTACTCATCTTGACACGGTGAACTCAGAACTGTCTTCAAAATTTGCAGAACGATTCTCTGAGCGGAGTTATGGAGGTTTTTCTTTACTGTTTTTCTTCTTACGGGCGCGCTGGCGCCGAAGCGTTGGCACATGTAGCGCGACTCACAGCGCTCTTCGCGCAAAACAGGTATCATATTCGTGTTCAGGGGGTCAAATAACCCCTAGAGACGTCACCTTAGCAAAATCCGAGCTTCTGACTCAACTTCGAAAAAATGGGGTATGGATAGTCAGGATGACTGATAGATAGCCGACAGCGATACTACGGCTAGCCTACTGATGACGACTGGTCTTCGAGCTGAAATAACTCTTCAACTTAGAGGAGACCGACCACAAGGTTACCCTAAAGGCAAGCGGCACAATAAATTAAGAAGTGCAGTATTAATACGCCTAGCAGGGCAGAATACGTCGCTCTCAAGCAGGCGTTGCGTGGAGCCTTCTCAGAAGAAGGTGCCCTTATAACGGCCTATTAAAGGCAGATGGCACGATGATTTGGTGCTTGGCCTAAAATGCTAGTAGGGCGCTATGTAGGGGGAAATGGCGAAAGAACGGAGTGAAACGGTCAAAATCCTGCGAAGAAAGAGCCTCCCTCAGCCCGCCTATAAATCCGTTGGATTTTATCGATTCATTAGCAAAGTACAATCTGAATCGTGTCTGCCGTAGCGATCACTGGCCCCATATCAACGGAAAACTCGTCGGAAATAGCTTCCTAAGTCGTTTAGAACAAAGGCTTTTTTTGCAGAGTTTGACCGTTCACTTCGCATTTTCGCCATTCTACATAGCACACCTGCTACCGCATCTTAATGGTACCGCGACGACTCGCTGATTTTTTTTACCTCGAGATTGAGGTCAGGAGATCCACCTTGCGGCAGCGCGAAAAAACGTTCTAAGTCCGTCGGATCAAGTACTCACCACTACCATTTTGGACCAAAGACACAAATTATCGTGGCTTATGCCTTTGAGGTACTGCCTGGACTAATTTTTGAAGCGGCGAGACACTAACGTGATGCTCTAAATCCACGTAATGCTGTTTCGGCGAGAGGGTGTAGATGAGAAGAGCTAGATAGGGGTTCACTACCTAAAATAAAGCAGTGACGAGGTCGCTTCGGCTTTCTCCAATTAAAAGCAATAGGTCGTGTCAGAATGTCATGCTGTCTCGGTTAGAGTGTACAGACGAGCAGTTATGGAGTGACTCAGCTCGCTAGTGGGTGGCCCTTCACCAAGTACTAGCACCCCCCGTCACGTTTCCGAAAATTTCGGAATCTACAAGCGAGAGGGCAGTCTCAAATCCTTTCCAGACCGCCTCACATGTAGTGTACCAGAGGTACTACAGTGTCGTTTGCTGCGGTAATGGCCCGTGTCAATGCGGTCATATTTGGCGCGACGCCAAAACCATTTTTCACCTGTTGCTGAAGCGAGCAAGCAATAAGACTGTATCGCATCGTTCGCATCAGTGCTTTCCATCTAGTGTCGTTCACTCGCTTCAGCAGTAGGTGGGAACCAGGCTTAGCACCACGACAAAAGCAGCTGCACTGACACGCCCTGTCATCCACAGCGAACAGGACTGCATTTCCTTCATTTTACTTGTATTCTCGATTGATAATCGGTCATCGTTTGCAGTCCTTTTCTTCATTCCTTGTCTAAAGTACTCTGAGTGAGATTATTATGCAAGGTTTCCCGTTTTTCATGAATCTGGTGAAATGGCTTCTATGAAATGAAGCCATAAATCCTCGAATTTCACTTGGACGATTTATAAAAAATACCATATTCCAAGTAGTAGGCTGTAAGTTCAAATGAAAGCAAAAGGATTCATTCGAAAAAGAGCTATCAAGCAGGTTGCTTAGTTACATTCAAAACGCCTCAACTTTGACTAAAAAGCCCAAAGTCTTAGTCTAACCCCAGCCTCATGCTTCCTGGGCACTGTGCACCCATTACACTGTAATTTGCATAGAATACAATTACAGATACAAAAGAGTACTATAAAGAATAAGAATGAATATAATTTGGAATAAAATTTGTGTAGAACGCCATGCAAATCATGTAAAACAATTGAAACAATTGAAATTTGTGGAAAATGCACGCAGTACTGATCAGTCGCGGTGCTGACTACAAATCTATAGACGAGAAGAAGCCAAAAATCAAGTACATTTTCACAAGTCATTTATTACGTCACACTTTCAGACCAACGCAGTTCAACTTCCTGCGTCAGAAATTTTTCTTCCGGACCTGAAACCAACTGGACGCAATATGGGGTATTAACATCGGTAACACAGGTATATCGATTGATCGTTTTATTAAAAGTAGGACCCTGAATACACTCCTCTATCCTGCTAACCTGCTGAAGTGGAGTCATTACCCCACTGAAATGAAAAGACTTATTAAGGGGGCGCAAACTGAAGGGCAGGCAGGGCAGCATTTTCCACCAATGGTGCCATCAGGGGCCCGCAACAATTCGTGGAAGGCTGCACTGAACGCGCTTCAATACACACCCTTCCACATGTCCTCTCATTTGCAGGAATAATGGGTGCAGGTCCGGAATCACTACAAGATTTGCCGTACAGTGAATGCGCTATGCTCCTCGTTTAGCAGCAGTTTTTTGAGGGGCGGAGGAGAGAAATTTGCAAGAACTCTCGGAAAAAAACTCCAGTAAAGGGTAGCACGGTGAAATTTAGGAAGATAATAGGTAGGATACGGTAGGAGGTCGTACCAAAGGAGGAAGTTCTGAGGGGGGGGGAGAGGGTTGTGTTTTGCAAAAATTTTCCTCTACAGCTGCACCTGCCCAACATGTTGGTGATGGTCTGTTGCAGTGATAGACTTCGTCAGAGTGAAATCTCATTATACTGTATGCTATTTCCCTGGCTCATGTGAGAAATGACTGAAATTACATGCCTCTATTCAAATTAGCTACTTACTAGTTTTTGTTTAGAAAAAGTTACAGCATGATTATAAGCTTGATTCAATCCGTGTTTCACCTCTACGCTCATTGCGCTATTTGTGACATCTATGTATAATCAGCGCTCATTATAGAGTTCTACCTTGCTTGGAATTCCTTCATCAAGGTAATTTCATCAGAACACTCCCGCGACTATGCGATCAGTCATAATAGAACTCATTAACTTCAAAGCCTTTCCGTCCTCAAACGTCAAAAGCAGTTCCCTGTCAGGGTTATATGTTTAGCTGGTGGGAAAGTAATCGAATTCCGGAATCCTCAACTTCAAGGCCCAAGAAATCAGTAAATTGAAATCTGCCAAAATTTGCAAAACATCGCCAACATGAAGAAGAGTTTGCGAATTCCTCCAGAACAGATCTCTTGGGCTCATCATGGGTTATCTTTTTTGTGCTTAAGCTGTGCACCAGAAACAGTCTCTTTCGCTGCTCATGATGGTGCGTGCTAGGAGGGATGGGTTCGGCGCGGGATCATGCTCATTTCCTCCCTGTTGTTCGAGCCAAACGACAAGATTGTAGTCGTTCGTATCAGTCGTTTTCCACCAACTACTGTCGCTTGCGCTTCAACAACTGGTAAGGAACGAGTTGGTGACGCGCCAGCAGACTGACAAAGCCCATCATCCGCAGCGAACGAGACTGTAGCAGGGCACATCATTAGTTGGGGATTTTGTCGAGTTCTTACGAACCGGCCCTTTTCCCAGGGGGGGGGTGGTACGCCTTGTTCCCTCCTCATTGAGCTGTCGAGCGGGAGGGAGGGTAAATAGCACGTGTAAACTGGGGAAAGTCGCGGGGAAAGTGCGACCCTGCTTCTATCAGTTCTTAATTTTCCCAACTTACTACCATTTTTCCGGATTTCAAGAAGTTCACGATCCCTCTCCCTCTTTACAATGTCCGTAAAATAAGAAAAATCTATTAAAAAAATTTTCTCGGCTCAAATACGACCCCCTGTTTGGAAAAACCCCAACAACCATGTGCCTTAGACTCTAAGCGATGTCGAGGAATACCGTAGTGCCCTCACTTCTTATCCGCCTCAAGTCGGAAGGACAGAATACGAGGTGGTTGTCGCATAAGCCCAGGCTAACCTGGAACCTAATTACCTGTCGTTCAAGTGCATCATATTCGGGCTTCTATAGCTTGAAAAGGAAAAGGGACAAGTGCAACTATTTGAGTGTGAGGCGCTTTTCATTCCATTCCAAGTCGAATTGTAGCAGATTTGAATAGAAGCTTTGCCTGGGCTTAGTTTTGGGGGGAGGTCACCTAGAGAACTTCTTGTGCACTGGTGCTACTTATAGGAGATGGAGATTTCTGCCTAAGCTTAGGGAGCGAAGCAGCTCCCATGTAGGTGAACCAAATTCTTGGGTAAAAAACGATTTCTCGCTAGAGTGAACTTTTACGCAAGGATTCCTTTAGATGCCCCTCCAAAACGAACAGCGCCATACCTTTAATGTTTCAGCAAGGTCTCACAAGCGTTGTGGAGTCAACAGCGTCGGAAGATAGAACTACCATGAGACCATACACATTATGTTTGTCAATAAATTCTGTTGTCAAATCGTAACATCGTCTCCGACATTACAAAATCATCAGTAGTTACTTGTATTATCAGAAACACCTGAAAAATCTAATCTCTACATGGAATTCTCGCCCTAATAGCAAGTAGTAGGGCGGAATTCCGAGCTATATCAGCGCTGTTCGGCGTTTCAACTGGGGGGGGGGGGGGAGCTAATGGGAGGGGCGCTTTACACATTCGTTAGTCCCTGTCAGCTTGCACGTCTCAGCTCGGTATGACCCGCTCCCTTGTCAAGTATAAACAAGGCTGGTGTTATCGTATAGCTTTGCAGGAATTAGCAGGTCTCCACAGGAGACATTGCAGTGGTCGATGGGAATGAGGAAAATGCTCTACCAAGCCGAACTGCGCCCAAAAACTTTCTATACTTTAATACAGACAGAATCCTTGGTCTCTTGGAAAAATATGCAGAACCAAAAAAAAACTTTGAACAAGCAAGAAATCGTATCTTCACCAGCTTTACCGGTTTTGAGAATTTGCATGCAATTTTATTTTTGTAGTTGCAGAGCGCTGACGGGAATTATTAACCTCTTCCAGTATTATTTACTCCAGGAACATCGACGCATCTCGTGAAGAATTCTAGCAGAGCTCGTTATGAAATAGGGATCAGTGAGGAGGTCGGGAAGAGACGAGTTGTATTTGCATTTGAAAAATTGTTTTCCGTTGCTACGTTTCTTGGTTTTTTCCATTTCAGTGGCGCCGTCCACCCTCCCCCTCCCTTTTCTCACAGCCTGCACACTCCGTAGCAGTTTTTAGATTAGAGCTAGAGAATTTTTCCGGAAATATGGTAGAAAGCGAGTGCGTGACAAGAGAATCGTAATTCGCCGCACTGCGGGCGTCGTGTGCGACGTTGCACCCGCAAAGACGCTGGTTCCAGGTCATGGATGGCGGCAACAGGCTGTGGATTCGAAAGTAGTCATAAACATCTACAGTCTCATCTACAGTCTCGCATACCACGTGAAATGCGGTGCTCCAATCGACACGTCGACACGAATCAAAAAAACGTCGCACCCATCGCCGCGCGCGGCAGTGCGACAAATTGCGGTTTACTTGCCCGTTTCCCGTAGAAAACTGGGGAGACTGTAGAAGCATGGTAGAAAGGATGGAGGTGGTAAAAAGGACGGGAGGTCGCACACAGGAAATTTTGCGAAAAGGGTCGTATTTTGCAGAAATGTCCCCCAACAGGCAGCATGTGCCCTGCGCTTCTGCCAGCAAGGGTCAGCACCCCTATGGACAATAACAGAGCCAGAACCTGGACCCCAACCTGCGGGACTTTTTAGAGCGCCAGTTGACGGAAACGGGGTTATCACCAGACAATTAATCGTTTCAGATCTTCAAAAAGAATGGAATCGAATTCCAGGGGACGCCCTCAGAGGCCTAGGACAGTCAGTGGCACGAAGAGGAGGCTATAGTCGCATGGTTACCAAACGGGAAATGCTCACTCAGGCTCGCATGGTCGACCTATGGAGAGAGACCACAGTTCATAAGCTCCCGTGGAACAATAATATTATGAGTTCCATTTTCAAGCCACTTTTCGTACAACTTGATCCATCCACCACAACCTTCTTCACCCTTGGCTCAGACAGATACCTTCATCCATCTGGTCCACTATCGCCTCTTCAGACCTTCCTGCAATTGATAGGATGAATGCGAATGCAGCGTACCAGTTCGTAGCTTCAAAAAGGTTCACAGGTCGCTACAGACTAAGTTCGGCAAGGGGGGGGGGTTGCACTTTCGTTGCTTCACTACTTCCGGTTTACAAGTCTCACTCTGGTGAAACCTGTGAACTCTTGTGAAGCTGGAGCAAGCTCGTCAAGCCATCATGGTAAAACCTGTCAACTCGAGAAGAGGCTGCCTAGATGGTCGACACGTCGATGGGAAGTAGCAAAAGTACAAAATGCCCCCACCCCGTCGCCGAAACTGCCTCTCCACAAAATTGCCTGGCAACAACTATCCCAGGCCGGACTGCTTGCCTTCTTTTGGATTTCTGTAGTGGTTTCTACGTCGGCTCGAAATTGAATAATTTTTCTTCAGGTCCCAAAATAACTGCAATCTTCTGGCCTGTTCCAAAATTTTTCTGGTTCTGCATTTTACTATGGGAAGTACTTGTAACACTTCCTATATCAAGCGATAGAAAAAAAAACCCTGAACAACCCCTTGCAATTGGTTCACCCTGTTTACATATATGTAACTGAAGTGAGAGCTTCACACTGTGGGACAATCAATAGTAATCAATGTTTGAACCAGATGTTCACAGGGAACAACAACCTAGAAATTTTTAACGCTCTAAAAAAACAAACAATATCAACAACAAAAAGAAATATGACATAATTTACAACACATAAAACCATCACATTCAACGAAAGCTTCAAACATTACTCCAGAGATGGTATATGCAGGTACTTCCTGTTAAACAGTAACTTCGTCATCCTAGAATGTAGCATATTTACTAGTTAGATAGAAAGTGTAGCATTTCAATGAACGATACCTACCAGTAGTCACGTCGACTTCTTGTTCGGATTCCGAGCACCAAGCGTGAAACAGTAAATGTTCAAAAATTCGCAAAATTGCCGGCAGACTACCGTGCAGTATACCAGTAAGGAAAAGTAGCAGTAAACCTGGAAAAGTATAGCAAAATAGTTACTGTATTTTCTGCTCTTGCGACACAAAGCGCTAAACTAAACGCTGCAAGGCGACTAGGGTATGTGGCAAGAGAATCGTAATTCGCCGCGCCAGTGGGCGTCGCGTGCGACGTCGCGCCCGCTAATGACGACGATTTTAGGTGGTATTGTTCGAGAATAGACAGTGTAATGTGTACAATGATCAAAAAAGAAATAAATGTCTACCATGCCTTTGTCTACATGAAATCCGATGCTTCATCGAAAGGGTAGTGCAAATTAAGGAAACGTCGCGCGCACTGCCGCGCATGACGGAGAAACAATTTACGATTCTCTTTCCGTCTCTGCGCTCTCATTGAGATAGTATTTGGCGATATCACCTCAAAATAGGTGAAGGCGCCATCCTCTTATTCGCAATCCAAATATGCCGGAAACCGCTGCGAAACTATTTCAAAAATTATCTCGGTGAGACGGCGCAGACGAACAAGCTAGACGTTTTATAGCTGCGCGTCACCTATCTCCCAAGTGAATTTTCCCTGAATTTTCCATAAAGGACATACCGTAACCAATCGAAGCAATAAGAGTTCATCAAAAACAGTATTGTAATACTGGTTGAGCATCAGGAGTAATGGACCTAAGTAAATCCAGTCCCATAATCGGAGCTCACTTTTGCTCATATGAGCAATAACTAAGCGATTCGTTGCCTTTGCGCCTAAAATCCACAATCTCAGAAAATATAACCGTAAAAAAAAGATGAGAGCAGTAAAAAGAGCTTACCTACAGCGCCAAAGCATAGCATGAAAAGCGTGATATGCTCATCATAAACAGCAGTTTCGGCACGCGAGTAGATCATACAAAACGGTACCACCACCATTAGTAGAGGGAAGAGAGGAAAAATTACTGATGTACCCTGAAAGGAATTTCATCGAGGGGATTTCTCGTCTTGTTTATCGCCTTTAGGAAGAGGTATAGGAAGTTTCAGCGGCTAAAAGGGAGGATTCTGTCCCATGGACCTGATCTCTTTCAAAACGTCTTATCTGCCCTCCTGGATTGGTCAATGCACACCAGGGCCAGCTCAAGGCAAACCCGTAGGCAAACAGGTACAGGAACGGGCTAGGCACATAGCTGCAAAAACAAGGTAGTTGAGAAGCAAAACAGTTAAGCGATGGGTGGTCGCCTAAACAGATGGGCGGGGACTCAGATACGTCGGCGCTCTCTTGCGGTCTCGCCGCCAACTTTGATCTGAGAAAGTGCACGGCTCACGACCGGTGCATTCAAAAAGTAAAGATCCTAGCGGTCAGATAATGGCGGAACGTGTCTTTTCTGGTTTTCATGCTGCAACGGCCCACCAATCGGAAATTGTAATGACTACTGCTGGACGACGATCTTACCGCAATTGTAGAACCATTTTTCCCGACACCTCCATGAATAATGACGTTAACGTAGCCTAGGATTTGGTAGGTTGATCCAATCATAGACGTGCAGAGAACAACATGTCGCAATTTCCAGCCTCCAATCTATAAAATTCCTATTAATGAACAGGAGAACAAAGCAAAATAGAGAAAACGAAGGAAATCCCTTACTAGACCAGTATCCCAAAAAGAGTTGCCAAAAATGCTTGTAGTGAGGAGCACTGCAATCACCGACATCTGAGCTTCAGTGACATCAAACCTGCAAGGTAAAGAGGGGTTTAAGAAGGGGTAAAAATTGATGTTAACAGTATTGACTTGACACTGAAGAAACAGAACAGGTGAAGAGTGGCGGAACATATCCCTCTAGGCCGATTAGAGCTTTACGGCTAGTTGGGTATGAGGGATATTACAAGACATCAGCTTCTTGATCGACTCACCTACATGGGCGCGCACCTTTTAGAAGGAGGCAATCAGCCAAATATGCAAATATTTCAGAACTTCCCTAAGTTTACAAGTTCTGATCCCGAACAAGGGAAAGACCGATATACAAGACCCTGGTACCATTTATCCATTAATCTTCCACATGCCGGGACTCTAGCTCAGTTTTGTACCAACTCGCCCCGGGAAGTGGATTGACCAGAAATCTGACCCTAGAGGTGCTTATATCCCTGGACCCAGAAGTCACACCTGTTCTGGCATGAAAGTAGCTATTAGGTTGAGTCGATATGAATCGGACAAATTGACAAATTTTTTATTTAACGTACAACTTTATAACATTCGACTCTGTGCACCGCCCGCGGACGGTCGCGTTTTGGGCCGCTCCAGTGGATACGTGAGTCCTTTTGCGTTTTCGTTTCAGTTTTCCAGTTTTGAATACTACTCTGTTCACGTACGATTTCGTTTTTGCTTTGCTACATTTGTACGTGTCAGTTTTTGTTGTATTGACCATTTTGCTGTGTTTTCTTTTTGTGCCTTCTCCCATAGCGTTTCCTTCGGCTTGGTTTTTTTGGCGCCCACGTTTTCGATTGATTTGAAATTGATTGGCTGGTCAAAGTCAAAACATGCCCCACGTAGCTGCTCGGCAAGGTAATAAGCGAAAAGATTCTATAGGGGATCCTGTAGGAAATTCGTCTGCCAAAAGACCAGACCTTGATGTTGAAAGGGAAGACTTTCATCCTGAAGATTTATCCAAGTTTTCTGCCAAGGAAATTCTTTATGCAATTCAACAGCGGAATAAGGACCCAATTATCGATCAAATGCTCGAGGCATTGGTAACAAAACTCCCGCAAGAGATTTCAGAGGGAATTGAGCAGTAACCGCCGACGTCTACATTCGTCAATTACGAGAACTGAAGGCAAAAGTCCAAAATTCGCAACGGCGGCGGTCCCATGTCTACTTCCAGCACGACAACGCGAGACCGCACATTGCAAGATCGACCAAGGCCGAGCTGCTGTCGTACAGTTGGACCGTGCTTCCACACCCACCGTACTCTCCAGACCTGGCCCCTTCGGATTTCCACCTTTTCTCCCACCTCCAACGCCACCTGGACGGCCAAGACTTCAAAACTCGCGACGACGTCAAGAAGGCACTCGAGAACTTCTTCGAGGCCCAGCCCCCGGCCTTCTGGAGCAAGGGCATCCACGATCTGCCTATCCGGTGGCAGAAGGTCATCGATGAAGATGGAGCATATTTCAAGTGAACCCCGTTGTTGTTATTTATTTATTTATTTATTTACACTATAACAGTGTGCTTCAAAAAAGAGGAGAATACTCATTTATGAATGAAAGCCACTGTGGTGCAAGTAGGGCTTGATAGGGAGCTGGTTTTGAAATAGTATCGAATGCTAAAGAGGGAAAAGGAAAACTAGGCAGTTGCGGAGGTTCTGTTGGCCTTGTGCTAAACTGTTAGAAGGCATGCAAGCATAGATAGAACGCAAAAGGAGAATACGTGACAACTATCCACACCAGTTGGCCAAGGTGCCTCCTTCCAAAGGAAGTCATCGGTACATGCCAGCACTTCGGAACACGGGTACACCAACATCCCACGTGGAACTGACATGCTGGATAGAAGCAAACAAGACGTAAAAAAAACTAATGTGGCTTGCAGGCGACTCTAAACTATCTAGCACCAACATTTATATGACAAAAATCGGGAGCAGTGAGTATCCACGGTCTAGTCCCCAAAGTCCCCAGCCGGCACCATAATGACAAACAACCACGCACTCTGGAACTCTAGGTGAGCACAAAAGAAAATGAAACCATGGCAGGGGCTGGGTTAGTAACAAACCAAGTAAGATTTCAACTCAACAAAAAGAAACAGAACACAAAATAGGAACAGAAAGGAAAAAACACAGTAAAAGCAAGCACCGACCGTTTGCCCCCTCCTAGCAGGCAAAAAGCAAATATTAACCTAAAAGTGAAAATTAAACAACGAGAGCACCTCGAAAGGATTAGTAAACAATACTCGGAAGGTGATATGCCAAAAAAAGAATTCCGTAGGGGTAGACTCCAGAATTCACAGCTGCGCACAAAAACCAACGAGTCGGTACAACATAACCAGAGCGCACACCTTAGCACAAAGAAGAACTAGAAATCTGTAATACCAAGGGTTGATAATAAATCGATTCTACTTCCAAAACGTCAGATGGGAGCAACTGCAGCCATCTTCCGCCTCGGAAAAAGAGGGAGTTAAGAGTCTTGGCTTGGAGATACCTTTCAGAACTCTTATAATGAAGGGACAATTTATTGGTGCGGCCACGACAAGGCTTGAAAACCCAATACTTACTTGGTTTGATTTTTAGATTACCTCTCAAAACCTTGAAGCAGAAAACTAAGTCATTGAAGACACGCCTGTAAAGGAGACTCTTTAGATTGAAGTTTTTCAACCTTTCATTGTACCTTGGAATGCTAGGAAAAGTGTAACCGATACCAGACTGGCATCTGTGAAACAGTATTCTTGTGAATGCTTGTTGTACTTTTTCAATTTCAATGCGGAGTTTACTGCTATTTGGACTCCAAATTTGGGAAGCGTACTCTAAAATAGGAATGACATATGCCTTGTAAAGTTTAACCAGGATTAAGTGGTCATTACCTCTGAAATTTCTGCAAATGGCGAACAGTGATGAGAAAGCTTTCCGAACAACTTCTTTGATATGTGGCTCGAAATCAAGCTCAGTATTCAAAAGGACTCCGAGATCTCGTACTTCATGTGAGGCACTAAGAATGTAATCGCCAAACGAATAGTCCCAGTACTCTATTCTGCCAATGTGAAGGACGGTCGTTTTAGAAAGGTTCACAGGTATATCCCAAGCCGAGGCCCACTCCATCATATTCGCAATAGACTTAGAAAGAGCATCAAACACATCAGCATGAGTCTTGTTATCATAGATGCCGTAGACTTTAATATCATCTGCATAAAGACGCACTTCGACCAGCTGATGTGTTTTTAGCCTTGCAGGCAAATCACAGGTGTATACCAAGAAAAGCAGTGGCGACAAGACGCCCCCTGAGGGACGCCACTAATACAAGAGTAATGCTTAGAGAATGCCTTACCAACCTTGACGCACATTTTTCTGTCTTCCAAATAAGACCGGGTCCAACATAACAACGAACCTTCAATGCCAAGCTGCTGAAGTTTTGCGATCAACTTTCTGTGATTTACTTTATCAAAAGCTTTTGATAAATCGAAATATATCACATCAACAGATTTTCCACAGTTGGCGGCTAAGGTCCAATCGAAAACGCAGTCAGCCAGCTGGGTTACTGTGGACGCACCCCTCAAAAAGCCATGCTGCTCAGGCGGAATCGAGTTTCTTTCAACAAGCCAAGCAAGGATCTTATCGCGGACTAATGTTTCTAGCACCTTGACTGGGGGTGGGGTTATGCTAATCGGACGATACGAGGCAATAAGAGAAGAATCACTTTTCTTAGGAATCGCTGTTACAACAGATTTTTTCCATAGTGCAGGGACTTCATTTAACAGCAAGGAGATGCTTAAGATCATGGTTAATGGCTTGTACAAGGAGTGCGCGCATCTTCGATAAACAATTTGCGGGATTCCATCAATGGTTAAAGCAGTAGAACACTTCAGTGATTTTAATACGCGTAGCACGTCTAGTGGATCAATGGAAATTTCTGAAAGGGAATCAAAGGTATTACGTAAAGGTGAAACTTCATCAAGTGGAATAGATTGGGGAACAAATACGGAGGTAAAGTATTGAGCTAGAGCTTCAGCTTTGGCTGAATCATCGAAGTACTGGTTACCAGCCTCATCCTGAAGCACTGGAAGATCTGCATGAAGTTTCAATTTATATTTCATTAAGGAAAATACTGCCTTGCTGTTTGGGAATGTGCTAGCATGCTTTTCTCTGTATTTTAGGAACCTTCTCAGATGGCGATCCAATTCTGTGCAAACATTTTTGTAGACAGGGTCAGTTAAGGCACTGGTAGCGTGTGGAACAACCGAGTTTTCTGAGACATAAGGTTCAACAGATGCTTGGGGTAACGATGCTTGTGCATCTGTGGGGACTGTAAAGGAACAAATCTTGACAAACCCGAATGAACAACTCCACAGAACCTGTTATAGACATCATCGACCGAAGTGTAATCGCAGAAGACCTCCCACCAGTTGACTGAGTTAAGGTAGGAAGATAGTCCGCCGTAGTCAGCCTTATTGAAATTTGGGAAAGGTAAATTGTTCTTGAGCGGTGATTGAATTTGAAATTGAAAGGCAACAGTACTATGGTCTGATGAAGCGAAAGGGGGCTTGATTGAAACAGACCGTAGTAGAGGAGTAGATGTTAGAATAATATCGAGGATTGACTCGCCACGAGTAGGTTCCATAACGTTTTGGGTGAACCCACCAGCTTTGAAAAACTCGAGAAATTTGGAAGACCCCGAACTCTTAGCAGTATTAGTAGACCAGTCTATCTCGAGATTTAAATCGCCAAGTAGGACTAGGTGCGCCTGAGTGAGGGTCACGTCCAATAAGGACTCAATCAGGCAATCATCATCATTTGCTGAAGAGTTGGGTGGCCGGTAAACCAAAATACT